AACTGTCTTCTCCTCTCGACCGTATTTTTATTATATCCTTCCCTCGTTTATTTGTTTTTACATAATAAGTGTATACTGTGTGCATAAGTTCTCGAAATAAATTTGCCTTTTTGGTTTATTTTATTAATTGACAGTGGAATTAGTTGCATCTGACAGTGCCTTTGCAGATCAGCTCTTGTAGCTTCTTCCTAATCGCCAATGTCGTACATTGCTAGCGCTCTTCGCAACCAGGAATATTGAATCCGCCTCCGCAGATCTCGAGTTGCGAAACGTGCGGCCGCTGGTGCGTGCGCGCCGGGTCGACTTCCTGCGCAAAGGAGCAAGAGCGACCGCCGCCCCAATGATCTGCCACTCGAACTGAGAACCCGAATTGTACCGCCAGATGTCGTTATTTCGCATGGAGACGCGCTCAAAAAATAATTTTCACATCTTAATTCACACTCATCAAAATTAAAGAAAAATATTGCTGTCGTTCTCCAGAAAATTTTGTTTTTAATATTTTAAACTTAATACCTTTTTTTGTTGGAAATTTTGAAAATGCCTCAGGGGCATCTTGTAAAGTAGCCTCGAAATTAAAATATATTTATTTTCAAATTGAAGGCGCCGCAACATCAGCCTCATTGATTGAGGAATATTAATTTTGGAAAAAATCGTCTTAATAGGTTAGGCGCTAGCATTGACCACACACGGCCGTATACACTTTTTGCCATCAATCGATTTTTCGTTAGCAATGAATCACAAAACATGGGTTCTGACTACACAACCTGTTAGAAGAAATAATTTAGTATCTACAGGAACAAGGTTTATCAACTTATTCGATACCAGTGCCCAGCAATTAGTTTTTGTGCCGAATATTCTCCGTTTTCCGGCGCACGATTACAAGATCTTTTTACGTGAGGGCAAGAAAGTTTAAGTAGCCCAAGGTGCAGGTGCTTTCTTATGCACACACATGTTATCTCTGAGCGACTGAGGCCGGCTCGTCCTCCAGAGACGGCCACTGGAGGTTCTTACCTAGTTCCCCCTCTCCACCACATGATATGGCCCCCGGGCCCTTTCTCAACGCGTTTCTTGCCAACCGAACAAGAGTTTCGTTATTGGCAGAATAGCTGCGCGGGCACGGCCGCGTTGGCCCGGAGGCCCAATCCGAACACAAACGCGTGACTCCGGTCCTACGCTGCTGCAGGCGTCGCGTCGAGCGAACTAAGGAACGATACTGACATGCTCCTACGCCTCCTAGCCAGTCCAGGATAGATGGGATACACGTGACGAGGTGCTGTACGGTCAGGGGGAGAGCCATGCCAGAAGCGCAAATATTCTTGCCCAAGAGGAATTCGAACCCGGGGTCGAGAATGCAAGCGGACTAATTCTCAGTCGTCTGGTCTGGCTTTTGCACCAATGTTTACAGAACAGTTGGGTTTAGCTTCAATATTAATTATTATAATAATGAATAATTTATTATGAAAACTATTACTCGTTCTGAATACAGTTTAAACTCCGAAGTTTAGATTATGAAGCGTCCGCATTTTCAGTGCGGTGGGTGAGTTTGAATTACGATGTTTTGCATATGACTATTTTTCCATTTGTCTCCCAGTGTAACTATTTATTTGAAATGAACGTATTGTAACTTTTAAAACAATCTCTTGACTGTAAATCGGACACACAAGTTTAATTGAGATTTTTGTTTCTTGATGACTTGAATATCCAGAGTATTCTCAGACGTTTTAGTCACCAGGTTAAATTTTTTCTTCAACTCTTCTCCTGGAAGTTGTTCACATTCACGTAGGGGTGAGCACATCAATTTGACAATCTCTTGCCTAAGTTGAGATTGTAAATGTATCCAACTATAAACACCATTGCATTGTTCACATGCGCATAAGATATTGAGCACTATCATCCACAGTCATGACAAATGGACCGGATAGCATGGGCGCAGTAAAGTATCAGTGACAGAATTCAGGGAGGTTATCGCCGACGAATGGGAACTAACCAAATGGAAAATTATCTCAAATAATAAAAATAAGTGTTGACAGCCAAGGTAATTTATTAAGTAGTGCAGTTGTCCATTACAGTTCGCATGTATGACACGAGTGTTGATGGCTGTCGATCTTACAAGTCGCAATGATGCGGCACATACGCCTCTAATGTAAGACCTCGGGAGACTCTGCTGGATTGCAAAACGCGAGACATTTCATACAGAATGAGGTCTACTTACAGGGACATAGTCGCCTTGAATGGCTTTACAACTTACACTCACTTCATGACCCCTTGAATTTGAGAACTCAAAATCGCAATCTTCAAATAATCTTTTTAAAAAATTGTCTTTTTGCAGGCGTATTGTATCGATATGTAGTTTTAGAAATATTTTTACGTTAATAGCAGTGTGTTTTATCGAGCTTTTAGTTCCAGTACACCGGGAAGGGGAGGTCATGTGAGCTCGGGTCCACCGCAGCTGCAAATGTTGCGGTAACGTTCCTGTTTTTTGTAAAAAAGCTAATTGTACGTTAAAAATTTCTCAGTTTGAAACAGAAAATATGAGTGGTATAAACGAAATCCATGCTTTGGAATGTTTCAAGAGGGAAATTCCTCCAGCGAAAACAGTCACGGATGAAGAGAGGGACATATGGGATATTAAGAGTCTGAACTTTAATATGAGTAAGTATGCAATGAAGCTTATTATTTTGTCAACCTAATGATGGTGATACAACTACATTATTTCAAATGTATTCTTTCACAATTTCTGGTGATATAGAAGCGGTGTCCAGAACTTCACCTTACCTGGAAACTTATATAAATAATTGTAAGCAGCAATTTGAAGGAAACTTAGAAGCCATGAGAGTAAACATTAAAGAAGTAAACGACAGAATCGAGAGTTGCGTGCGGACGGCATGTGAAACTTTCAAATTTACGTTGAAAAACTCAGAAAATACGATAGAAAATTGGAAAATATTGGTCAGTTCTGGAAAGGTGTGTCAAAATTCCATATACCTCCCTTGGAATTTAAAATTATCACTCTATCAAAACTATTATTCATATCGAGAGAAATTCGTAACGGTGTAGATAATGTGAGTAATCTAGTGCGATTCCTTACACTCGTGAAGATTTCTGACCATAACATTTCATGCGGATAACCAGAACTATTTTTCCCTAAATGCGCCATTGATACAATTGCGAATACCACTTTTCGAACGTTAATATTCTTGTTAACTCTTCATTTTATATTTCACTTCAGTTTTGGCGTGATTTTATCTTTCAGGATCCCGAAAAGGTTTTAAATTAGGTCTCCCCACTGGACCGAAGGGTGCGAGAAGATAAAATGTATTAATTTATTGAAACCTAATGGACGGATCTCTAAAGAGGCACACACGTAATCATTAATAAAAGACATCTTAATCAAGAGGCTTATGATATATTTTCCCGTGATATATAGTACTTCCTTTTAGTACAGATCGCCTGTTTAAGTATGCTGATAATTAAAACTCAAGCTAACATGGATGTATCTTTTCAAATGTTTGTCAACAAGAATCCCAGTATTAATGAATATAAAAATGTGAGAGCAATGTTTAAGAATATAGTAGAGAAAAGATGATTACATAATAAAAGTCACCTTTGTCAACTTAAATTTATTGAGATGCCGACTTTCAAAGGCTTTGTCGTCATCAGTCTAGAAGCAGGGGCGAAAGTCGGGAGACGGTACCCGCCCAGCACTATGGGCAAAGTCGTCGAAATCGGCTCTCTTAATAAATTTTAGTGGACAAAGATCTCCATTATTTCATCCATTAATAATGTGACCACAATAAAGAAAGACACGTACACGTTTTCTGACATTTAAAAACATAGTGGTGCTAGAGAATGGCACAGACTTTCTAGAATTATTTTTCTGTTGTTTTCTCTTTTTTTTTTGGTCTGGGTTAGCTATTCTGACTTGCCTAATACTCTTTCCATCTGTCGTCTATCGCCGCCCAAAATACATTTTTTTTAAACTTTTTAAATTTTTTTTCGTTTGTGTAATAGTAGAACCGAAATATTACTTAAATATTATTAAAGATAAATAAAACCCCTAATGCCATATAAAAGAGTGTAATTAGCACTATCCATTGGAAATGTTTGACTCAAAAGTACTCGTAAATACAATAATAGAACAAATTGCCGCTAATGTAAATACGGCGTGAGAGACAAGTAAAAAAAGCATTTTTGTAATTTTTGAAAAGCAAAAGAATACCACAAAATGTCGTTTACGTCACCTTATAGAGAACATTATCACTATCCCTTCTAAAAGTAAAAAAAAACATCTTCGGAGTCGTTATTGAGAAAATATTTTTATTTTTTAATATTCCACATATTGCTTGCAATATTACACAAAAACTAGTAAAGTGTTCGAAAAATGAACGTGACCTTAATGAAAGAATTAAATATGAAAAATAAATTCCATTTGAAGGAAAAATCGATCTCAATTTTGTAGTTGCAGGAATACGCCGGAAAAATTTAAACTTCTGAAATTTTCGAAAATTCAGAGTTAACAGTGAAAAACGGACCTATGTCATCTTTATACGTATATTTTACATTATTCTTTCAAAAGACTTAAAGAAAACATTTTGAGTCAATTTTGAGGAAAAATTTGAAACGTCTCTATCAATTTATGAAAAAATCCTCCTAAGGTTGAGAGGCTAGTCGTGTTCTCAGTCGACGAACGTTTTGAAAAAAACAACACTTTTTCGGTATCAGGGTATATATACATACATATATAAGAAAGTAAAAAATTGCAAAAGTTAGTTTGTTCAGTTTTTACATCTCTAATATTAAAGCACGGGATTTCATATATAATGAAAGCATTCCTCAATATTAGATCTCTAATGTGTAATCTCTAGTGTTTTTTATACGAAGTACAATTTGGAAACATTTAGAATTTTTCTCAAAATTTGCTCCAAATTTTTGCTCTAATATATCACACTGCGATTATAAAAATGTTGTGGTATAATTTTCATTAAAAACGGGAAAATCTTATGCGTACGCCTGGTAGGTACAGTGCCGAGATGGACCTAAGGCTACTTCGGCGTGTTGGGAGAGGAACAAGGGAGCCATTCTCTGGATATTGTCCCCAGAAGTGTGGTAGTTAAGTCTGGAAAGTCCATAGGCGCCGATAGATGCCAAGCGGGAAAGGGGTGGGGTAAAATCAAAAAGGTTAATGCGCCTCAAAAGAAAGCGGAATTCACTAATACGAGAACTGTGTCATTTTCTAGCACCACTAAGATCAATTCTGAAGTAAGCGTTTTATTTCACTTTTTTGTTTTGTAGCTGCCGTTAACTAATGTAATGATGGATAAACATGATATATTGAACTTCAGTGCTTTACATGACATTTTGGAAAAAAGAAGAAATGCAGTAGAGGAATTTTATAATAATCTTATTTCTATAGAGAATCATCGCGTCAAGGAAAATGTTAGTATTTTGCGAAATGTTAAAGGCGCATTAATAAAGCTGGCAGTAAAAAAGCCGTCTGAAATACGGGAGATTTTGGAAACGGAAATATTGGTAAGTTGAATTACATAATCAACAGCATCTTACATTACATGCAATATTGCTCTGTAATAGTAAATGTGATGCATAAAATGAATACACTTCCCTGGAATTACAATGTTCATATTACAAGAAAATATCTGTTTATTTCACAGAAAATAAACCAAATTGTAATAAACAATGTACGGTATTATGAGGACCTGAAACTCAATTTTCATTTGCAAGGAGAAAAGATAAAAATATCTTTCAGAGATCACGTTGAAAAGTGTCGAAAGAAATTTGCTGAAAAGTTGTTGGATACAATACAGTAAGTACAGCTTCATTGTAAATGTGCAAATGTGAAACAAGCCATCTAAGTTTATTTCAAGACATCATGTGAGTATCCAGAATCTAGTACATGCGTAAACATAATACACAACGATGTAAGAAGTTTAGATAGATATTTATTACTTCTGCAAGTAGATTCTTTGAAATGATGGTAGAGCACTATAATTTACTTACAATTAATGTTATTCATACATTATTATTCTTTCATTATAATGCTATTAATGTTATTGTCTGCCAGTAATGTACAAAATTATAACTGCAGCCATAGTTGAGAAAATATACTGTCACCTAGAGAAGAACCATCTGTTGCGAGTTGAACAAAAAGGATGTCGTAAAGGTTCCTATGACTTTAGGTAAATGTTGCTACTAAATAAAGTCATCTTGAATGATGTATAGAAACGAAAACGTAATTTAAGCGTGGATTACATTGACTATCAGAAGGCCTTTGACAGTGTACTGAATTTTGAAGCTCCTGAAAATCTATCGATTTTATTGAAGACTTTTGTAAGACTAGTATGAAGTCGTGGAGTACCAGGTTATTAATATTCAGTGGAAAGTTTAGTACAACTTGGTTTTATTCCATAAGTACTACAGTTATCCGAGTAGAAGCCGTGTCGTCATAACCGTGCGGGAATCGCTTGTGGTGGGTGGTTGGCGTCTCATTCAGCGCTAGCGTCGTGGTTGCAGCCCTGAGCGCGAACCCCGAGTGTGGGGCTGGGCGTGGCTGGCCACTCGGCGAGTTGAGGCCGCAGGGCTCGCTAGCCTCGCGTGCCGCCCGGTGGCTTCCTAATGATCAGTTCCGCTTCCCACCAAACATTGCTTAGTTGTTAGTGGTTTTATGTCAATACATTTTTTAAAACTATTTTACCAATAGTAGGAAGAAAGGATCATATGAGACTGATCAGGCAAGTATTGAGTTTGGTATTATATAATTTTTCACTCTACTTTCTCAAGGTACCTCGAATAAGTAAGTAATTACTACCTACGTGTGGGTAACTTACATATTTTAAATCTAAGTTTATCGTAGTGAACAAACGAGATATTTTTCTTTTGCAGAGGGCAAATACAGGAACTGGATCCTGACAGAGAATTTTTTAACTCCGATGAAGGCAAGAAAGCACTGGAAAGTCTTTATAGTGCTAGGGAAGTTATATCCAATCTCATACAACAAGAATTTGGTCACGTGAGATATTCAACAGACGATGTGGAAGGATGGGCCGTTAAGATTCAAAAAGCAACTGAAGATCTAGGTAATGTCCTCTCTATTTTCAATTGGTACTAAATTAGGTTTTGGTAATCTATTTTTAAATTCTCCCGTACTACTTATAGTATAGAGAAATTATTGTAATCGTCTGCCTGAAAACGGCAAATTTTCGGCAGAAAACGTCTTATTGCCGGTGCCTGGTAATAAAAAAGTGGATAAATTCCGTTCCCATATACAGTGAATTACTTCCTCTAATACATTGTATAATCAGGAATCACGTGTTGTGGGTCCTTGACCCCAAAAACTCGATTGACTGCAAAACGACTGTCTGTGGTCAACGTTAGCGGCTAAACGTTCAGACGATTTTCTCCAAAATAGATATTCTTCTATCCATCGGAACGAACTCGGATTCTGCGAGTTTGAAACGGATATTTTGATGAACATAGAGCGTCATTTTCAAACTTTTCTTAAAAATTGGCTCCAAGTTTTTTATTAAACATTGTTCTTCAATAGCGTAAATAACTCTTTAAAACAGCATAGGGCTAATTTTCGTCATGGGAAAGATCTCTGATTTTTAGAAAATTGAAAACGTTCAAATTTTTGCGGGGTCTTTCTACAAATACAATATTGATGATTTTTCTTACTAAAATGTATCTCTATTAAATTATGTTGCTTAAAGGCTTATTAAAATACGCTCATATAAATTTTTTCTAAAATACGAGTAGTTTTTGCGTAATTTTACGTGAAGCATAAGCAATTTTTAAATTTTTTCAAACATTGTTTCTCACAACCTTTCCTCGTACGTAGGAAAGAACGGTAAAGAAAGTGGTGTTGAACGCAGTTTCGTTGAACTCTTTGCATTTTCGAAAATTGCAAATGTTTAAAAAAAAGCAGCTTTTCGTACAACTACAACATTTGAGATATGTTTTTTCTTATCCCTTAGAAGCCCAGGAGATAAAGAAAAATGACTAGTAGGTGTCTTAATGAAAGGGAAGTTTCGACCTGCACGCGATGCGCGATGCTCTGCTCGGGGAGCAAAGAGGCCGGCAGGGGAGGTCGCCCCTCGCCTCGGGGCCGGAAATGTCCTAAAGAGAGACGCGGGGAGGGCAGGCCTCTAGGACAAGCAAAGGTCAAAACTATTCCCCCGAGGCGAGGAAACCACTCGCATAAAAACATCAGGTACTTACAGTGCCCAGAAAGATTGGAAAATAGAAATGGATCTCGGACCAATTAAAAGGTGCCACTTCGATGTGAAGAGAATTACTAATAAAGAGTTTGCCGTGCTTGCGAATTGCATTTGACATGAATATTTAGTTTTATTCTTTGTTCTTTTTTTCGTGAATTTTCCCAATATTTTAATTGTTATTTTTCTATTCGGGGCGGAATTGAATCCAACAAGTCAGAAATAATTAAAATTGGTCCAGCCGTTCGTGAGTTATAAATAGTGTAACTAACCCGACTTTGTTACACTTATACAAAGTCTAAAGACCGCTGCTGCTGTATTTACTCATCGGCAGTCTACGATACAGTCCGGAGAGATGGACTAATGTTTGATAATGTTCCCTGATATGCGTCTTTATGAACTTATTACTAACATGCTCAATAATATAACAGTCACGGCAGCGATATACATAAGACAGAAAGGTGGAAGATGACCTCTCGCAGGCATTCGTTCTTTTACCAATTTTTTTCTCAATTTGTATTCTCATATTGCAGACTTGCCGCCCACTGCCTCGTACATTTGCCTACGCTGATTGATCACTATGATAATATCACTAACATATCTGGATCGCACCTTAACTTATAGAGCTCACTTGAAAAACACATCTGCTAAAACTCGCACTAGACACGATATTTTGCTAAAGCTGTGTGGGCCAACGTGGGGTGCTCCTACTTCAGAACTTCGAAGCTCAGCTCTCGGACTCGGACAGTGCAGCGGAATACGCATCTGCAGTATGGGTTAACACTTGTCATGTCCCTCTGCTCGATTCCCAATTAAATAACTCTATGCGCACCATAACTGTACGTATTAGGTCGACTCCGATGTACTGGCTTGACACCTTGAGCCCCCCCCTGACCTTTGGAGACAAAGAGCCCTACTGGAAGAATTCAGGAAGATTTCTCTTAATCCTAACCTTATTCACAACTACAGCCAAGCTGCCTCGCTTAGTAGAATGCAATCACGTAAACCATACATTTAAACAGCTGCCTACTTAAACAAGATCGAGCAGAATGAGAGAAATACTGACTTGCTAACGTACCTGCTAGAAACCATAATTTTCTTACAACCAGCCAGAAACCTTCGGGCTTCGATCTGCCTCGCAATATACGGAAGACGGCAAACCGCATTCGTACAAGACATTCGTACTAGACACCGCATTCGTACTAGACATGGAAGATGCATACTAGACATGGCTTCTTTCTTCAAATGGAGCATGGTACCATCTCCTCTCTGTGAGTGTGGTGCCCAGAGTGCGTCATTAGTGGAGAGATGTGAAGTCACTGCCTATCGTGGGGATCCGGACAGATTTTCTGACACCGACGGCGGTGGAATGGGTTCAGAAGCTGCGCGTATCCCTCAAGAGCTAACTTATTTTTCGTACCCCTTTGAAGACTGACATTTTTTGTTATGATGTCGTGTTGTGATGTATATTTTTTATTATGTAGTTTTTGGACAGCATTTGTTGAATTTGGGCCGTGTGCGCTTGCCATAAGATAAATCAATAAAAATACATAACGGTTTATGTGAGCAAGACAGTATGTGCTGTTTAACCACCACTAGTGTGCATGAATATTACTAGGAATAATGTTTTATACGAGTTACATGGCTGGAAAATCGTATAGATGAAAAAGGTGAACTTTCCTGCATGAAATTTAATTTGTAGGTTTACCTTACTCTTCTAAACTGTGCATCGACTTCATTCATTATAATTCGATCGGGAGGAGAGCATAGCAAACAACTTAAGATTCAAATAGTGGAAAAGTATATTTATATACTATTGTGTGCTGGATAGAATAAAATGCTAGATTCTCTCTCCCTCTCTCTGGCTTCTTCACTCCCGATATTTCTTTATTAATGACTTTTAACGTTCAGGAAGATGCTAAAATGATATTGTAGGAGTTCGAAGTTCATATTGAGGTCCTTAGAGAGGGCGTTTGACGCATAAAGTCGCCTTATTAACTGGTGACATCATCAGTTTAACAGAGAGATTGAACATTATTCCTCTCTTTTTTTCCACCCGTTGTATATCTTTATAGTATATAGCGTATTATAAAAATCATCCAAAGATTAAAATAATAAAGTTGTCATGTAAGACGGATATTATGGAGAAATGAAATGTTATTAATGTTATTACCATTTAATTACTTTTTATTTCTATTTCATTTATTTTCACTTCTTGGCTTGTTGCAGATAAAATTACAAAAATGGTAATAGCTTTGTACAAGAAGATTACTTACAGTCTGTTTCAAGGTAGAATAACCGAACTTGAGAGGTTTCAGGAAGAATATTTAGGTATGAATGACCTCAAATCATCCGAGGACCCTTCAATAATGATTGAACTTAAAAAGAAAATTTTTACGCCAGTAATGGAAAAAGAACAATTGCATGAGGAAAGTGTCTCAGCAATAGAGGTCAGAAAAGTCAATTATTTATATAATTGTACGAGTTACGGGACATTTTTTCTAAATGTTTGTCACATGGGTATATACATTTTTGTCGTATGTTTATAGACTGAATGGCGAAATTTGATGTTTGACATGCAAAGTACGTTACAAGCAACATTTTCATTTTTATATGATTCATCAAAAATGTGGGAAAGACATTTCTCGAGAACAAAAGAAGCAAAAAATATGATAAACATGAAGCTTATTTCTTTAATTGCTCAACATTCAGTCACCGAAGCGGAACTGGAAAAGGAAATAAATATTGCGATTGATTCTCTTAGGCAAGAGCCAACGGACGAAAAACTAAAATATACATTGCATAAAGTGTACGGATTGCTAGGAGAAATCGAAGATCAGTAAGTTAATATTTGAAATATTTGATGCACAGTGGTGTGTGTGTTATGTCTTTGACCTTATTGAATAAAAAAATCCTATTTTGTTTAAAAATACAAATGGACTTATTTAAAATTAACTAAATAAATTTAATTTAATAAGTTTTAGTTTTAGTTATTGATTAATAAGAAAATCATTTTTATCCATTTCAGATGTTATTTTTTATTAAAAGTAAAAAAGAAATAAAAAGCTTATTGTTTATAAAATGCTATGAAAAGGCGTAGATGTCAGAAAATTTGGAAAGCTTAGTAGTCTGTTGCACCCAAACCTTTTAGGCGGAATTGGTCTCAGACTCTTTGGGGGCATTATTAGATTATTATTCCACTTACGTCTTTCGAAAGTTTAATTTTTTTAATAGTTTCAATGCTTGAGAATTTTTTGAACATTTCATCAAAATATGTTGAGAATTATTGAGACTTTTCAGCAATTTTTAAACATTTTATTTTATATCAATCATTGTCTAAAAAAGGCTGAGACCACCTTTTAGTTTGTATATAAAAATATAGTAAATCATTTTATTAATTATAACTAGAGCCCAGACGTTTGGAAAAATGCGTTTTTGTTATTGTCTCGATTTTATGACTTTTTTCAATAATAATCACTTAATTGTACTTCTGAAATTGTTTTAATAGATGTTAGAAAGTTGAGGAAAGATGAAGAAAGTTATGTAATGCTGCGGAGAATTGATTTCCAGATTTCAACGGAAATACACGTTTTGAGGTCCCAGGTAGGGAAAAAGTTTTTTTTAAATGTCAGTCCGTCTGTTTGTCCGTCCGTGCGTCCTTTCTTCTGCCTGTCCGTCCGTCTGTTAGTCCATCTCTTCGTCTGTCTATCAGTCTGTGAATACCACTAGCGCCTAAACAATACGTACGATTTTTTTCCAAAAATGGATATCCGCGGTCGATCTGGCTCCACTCGAGGCGCCGCGATTTAAAAAAACCTTTTTTTGTATGTTTTGTACTTTTGAAAATTACACACTTGTTATTTATTTGAAATATCTCTCTCGTCATTAATATGCACATTTCCAGCAATTTGTAAACACTATTGTATATGTGAGTTAAAATGCTTCAAAGGACTTTAAATGGAGTTTTCGAAAACTCGAATATTTTCTGTCAAAAAGAACTGCAAATTTCAAGTTTAAAGTAGGGCTTAAGAGCCATTTTCTACAAAAATGCTGCCAATTTTTCAAGAAAATTGTCATTTATGTGGAGGTTTTAATATTCTTCAATATTCTTATAATAATATTTACGTTCTACTATTACAGAATCGAAAAATTAAGAAAATTAAAAAAGTATTTTGTGATTTGATAGATGGCAGCTGGCAAGAGTATGCAAGTTCGTATAGTTAGCCGAGAGCAATGGAAGTAGAAAAATAATACGGGAAAGTCTGTGCCATTCTGTTGCACAATTAGTTCGGCCTATTGTAGCTTCTGAAACCTATTTGGCATTTGACTTTGTTTTTCCCGCATAGGAAAATGATGTCAGTCAAGAATTTCGGATTTTTTCATTGATGCTGCTATGCTTTGTCGCTGGCGAGGAATCCCGTAGTAATTTTGAGTATGGTCTCCGATTTCTCTTGCGGACAGTGAAGGGTACATCATATCCCTTCTCAGAGATTACGATTACGCGAGTGCGAAGAACGAACAATCTAATGCCTCTCTCACTGTTGCCATTTCAAGATTCAAAAGGCAGTTCAGAATAGCATTTCGAAGAGACAACGTTGCGAGTAACAGAAACTCGTGGTCGGCATCCCGGATAATCTTGTGGAGGCGATATTTTAATAAAAAATCGTTTTGTTACACGTTAAGTGCAAATATATATTTTAAAGTTATAATAAAAATTTGAATAATTTTATTAATAATGTTTTACAATAATTCCTTTAAAAATAGATTTTTTATTGATTGCATGTCTTTTATAATAAATGTTTTTTTTTGCGTGCCGGTAAAATGATTGCCAGAACTTCTGGGCTCTAAATATAACATACCTGGGCGTAACATGCATAACACTTGTGGAACATAGTTTTTTCGCGAGGATAATTCGTTTTAAATTATTACATTTGTTAAATATTATTTGCTATATTCTTACATTGGAATCTATTTGTATTAGATATGCAAAACATTTTGCTGAACAACAATCTATTATAGAAAGATATAGTAATATATCGGAAGCAGAAATTAAGTTGTTACAAAGTGAAATAGAAGAGTTTCTAAATATTTATCCGAATGAATATTTTAATGACTATTTCTTACGACGTCAAGATCAGTTGAAAAGTAACATCTCGGGGAAGAAACCTGAAGAAAAAGATAAAGATGAATCTGAATCAAGTAATCTTCCACATCAACTACGAAAATGTCACTACCAAACGGATGCGCTTAGAAACTGGAAACTAGGGTAAGAAGTAAATTACTTTTACTAATTTTGCCATGCAGTCGTATAATATCAAATAAATTCTGTAATATTTACACATTTTAAATATGACTTTTTAATACATTATTCTTGCATTTTCTGCGCCGTTACTACTTTTTTGTATCAAATAATGTGTAATTTTAGTGACACTGTTTTCTATTTCAAAGTATTATTGTGGGTCATTTACGTAGTTATTATTTTTCTTTTACTTAATTGTTTCTCTCCATCAGTATGAAGCTTCACATAAATTCATGATATATTATTTAACAAAAAATTCAATTTTAAAGTAAAATATTGCCAATATTTTTTTTATTCAAGAAAATTTTAAACATTTGTGTTTCGAATTAGAAGCAGAACATTTTCGACCGATTTAAGAACCATAGGAACAAGATGTGATGGGAAGGAAGCGCTGAGATATAGTTTTCGCTGTTGCATACCACAATCATACTTATAAAACATAAAATTAGATTCGTTGAACGGAACCTATGATATCTGAGCAGAATTCCTAATGGAATGAAGATTTTCTTACCTTGATTTTATTAACGCTATCGTATGTAATGCTTCCAACAATTAGAGCCTTAGAGGGACGTTCTTCACTGATGGGGAAATGAGTGCTTTAGGAATAGGAAAGTCAGGGAAAATGATGAAGAAACTCTTTTAAACTTTGTGTTAATCGTGTGATAAATCATGAATTACTTCCTAACAAGATTTTTCTTTTCAACTCTTTATAGTAATAACTTGTACTAAACTCATTGTAATCATTGTATTTACAGACAACTGAATAGGTCAGTGAGGGGTAGGCAAATGTCACAAGTTTGAGCTTTACGACGATTCTCTCTGAGCAACCTTCTTCCCTTGAAGTATTATTCTCGTATAGGTTTTCAAAACATAAAAACCGTTTTGCAGAATTCTTCTGTCTATATCTTTAAAACCGTTAATTTTTATTTTTCCGACAATTTGTATACATTATTAAATTTGTAAGTAGAAGTGCTTCAAATTATTACCAATGAAGTTTCTCGAAACTCAATAGTTTCAAATTTCGCGTTTACAGTAATGCTTAAATAATATTTTTTCAAAAACTGCTCCAATTTATTCAACGAAAATGTCCATACAGGACAAGGTCGTCCCCATCTCTCTCTCTCTCTCTCTCTCTCTCTCTCTCTCACTCACTCTCTCTCTCTCTCTCTCTCGGGAAAATTGAGAAAATGTGAAAAAATGTACTTTAGATGGCGATAGATGACAGTTGGGAAGAGGATAGGGCAAGACCGAAAAGCTAGGCCAGACCAAAGAAGTTAGAAAACTAACATATACTACGAGAAAGCGTGTGCTATTCTGAGACACTACTAGTTCTGATATATTTTTTGCTGCTAGTACGTAAATGTCATGTAAGCCATGTCGCAAGGGTAAAGGTATTCTTCGACGCTGCAGGGAACGGGTATGTCATTGATGTAGATAGAGAAGAGTGGGAAGTAATTGTGTGCGACGTGGACATATAGGTTACAGGTATCCAACTAGGAGGAGGCATCGCGAGAGGTAACTGTGGAGCAGGGATTTGAGGAAATTTGAAGTGTAGGGTTTGATTTCAAGGAGGAGAGATCGTGGTTAACATAGTCGAAAGCATTATAAGTCTGTCAGTAAAAATAGCCCTTGAAGTTGCCTCTTATGAAATGTCTTGACTATGTTCATTATCAGCCTGAGAGTTTAAAGAGGTGCTTTTCGTGAATGCAAATTGTGTCTTTAAGATCTTTAGTCGGAGTTGGTATCAATCGTCGATGTATAAATTGCCAAATATTTTGTTAGTGGTCGGTAGAAGGTTTATGAATCTGTGGCTATTGATTTCTCTGAGGTCCTTCATTGGTTTCGGGATCATTATTAAGTAGTTAACTTCCTTTAATTCGGGAAGTAAGTGAGTTTAATGCAGGTGTTGATTATGTTTGTCTATTGCGTCCTTGTCAAATGTTTGAAGGAAATTGTCGGCATCCTGTAAGATCCCGTTTCTTTGGTCGCATTGAGAAATCTGAATACGTCGCCTACGTATCACTTAAGGTCTAAGGCGTCTGCGCTGTAGCGGTGATGTGGCAAGGAAATAAAGCATTGCTTTGGTAGGATTTTCAATTGTCCTTGGGTTGTACGAAATAGTACTTGCAGTGTTGGTGGAAAATGGAACTTCGTCGGGTTATTTTAAAATTAGTAATTTTCCGTACGTTTAGGGCGGCCTCATGCTAAGTCACCTCTACCGTATCACGTACCATGATGTGTTTTTCTTGTCTTTACGAGTAAGTTGGTGTTCATTTCGTTTGTATAGTTGCTTGTCTTCAAGTAGTCTGGTTCGACAGTAAACTTTCTCGAGTCGTGTTTGTCGTATGAGCTGCCAGGAAGCGCCTGTGGATGGCTGGATGGAACTCTTCGCCTTGGAGTTGGTGATGTGGTATTTGAAGCGGTCTCTTGCATTTTCTATTTGTTAATGTTTGCTTAGATCTTCTGCAGGTTTAATTTTCTTAGCAATGAGTGTTGTATATTTTTTCCAGTTTGTATGTTTTGGAGTGCGTAGCGTGAATTTGTGATGTATTGTGTAATGTCACTGGCAAAAATATTTCGGATGTGATCGGATACATAAGTTCACAGACTTGTATCCTAAGTTCCGCTGTTAACTTGCCTGTGTTTGCCAAATTGAATCGAGATGTATCTCAAATCTGCACTAGTGTTGCTAGTGTCTTTGTTTCGATAAGCGCTTCAATTGTTGCTCTAATTGGATGTTTTGGATGTTTTCACCATACTGGATACGCCTTTCCTTCGAAAGTAATTGTACATTTTTGTAGGAAGTGTTCACTTCAATATTTATTTTGTGTTCAAATGTTGATTTCCATTTCTATAAGAAAATTACAAATTAAGAAAGAATTATTTCCAACTTCAAGTATATTTACTATTGCATGTATATACTTCCTTTTTTATCAAGGGTACCCAGAGGAAAAAGCGGCCTGAGCAGTACATCCATGGATATTTCAAATAAAAGTCCCCCTCTCTAATACATAAACAAAATTCACCACTCCTTGCATCGGAAATTACCTACAGCAGTTAATTTGAATTGGAAATAAATACAATTCGATGTTTTGAACGAAAAAAATGCGATCACAATGAAGTCGGATTCTGCTGCCTCTGCCTTCTCTGGGCATCCATGTACCTTATAAAATATTTTATCTTTGCGTATTGTTTGCTATCTTATATAATAGCGATGGATGGTATAAATTAGAAAGAAAAAATATATCAACAAACTTGAAGTGTATTTTTTTATGAACTGCAATTTAGATGCTCCATTTTCTTGTTCTAGGTTGCGAGAGGCTATATTATTTTACCAGATAGTTTGCAACAAGGAATTGGAAAGGAACATGAAAAGATGGGTGGATAAACAATTGAATTCCTTAACACGCAGTTTTGAAGCTAAACTTACAGTACACCGATCCCGATTTCAAAGAGTGAAAACAGAAATTCATGATCTTCGACTGGCGGAACTTGAAGCCCATATTCAACGTTTCGAGAGTCATGTGTTGGTAGATATCAACAAAAAATTTTACAATTACATACTTTTTTCAATGATTATAGTGTGTGTTTTATTACAGATTAATTTTATTGGAAGTTATAACTAATTATTTATTGCCTTTGGAACGTTATTTAGGGAGTTCAGCAGCAGACATATGAACTTTCTGAAACTTTACAGAACTATTTTAGAGATATTACTGCCACCATTATTCCAGAATTTACTTGCGCCGTGAAGGATATAGAAGATAAAGCTAAAGCGTCTGATAGCTCAACAGATGTTAGTTCACTGATTGTTAAGGTAAATTATAGTATTTTACTCTCATTTCAGAAAGCATTTTCAATCATTTTCCTAGAGAGTAAACAATTAAATTTCAAACTCTTTTGGAAAATTGGTTATTTGACGAATATTGACAGTATTGAAAAATTTTCAGAACATTTTCAGAACTTGCAAATCGCAACACGTATGCTTCCAAACTTTGAAGCATCATAATTTAAGTTACAGCAGAAAATTGTATGTAAACATTTTTACACAATAATTCTTTTCAAAGTTAATTTAAAAGCAAAGAAATTTAATTTTGTCGCTTATGGTTATTTCAAATATTCTACACCAATAGAAAATATGTTCCGGAGAAATGTTCATTGAAAAATATTACTCGATTCAAGGTCATTCATTATTGAAATGTGAATCATGCATTGCATCATCTTTATGTTAATCATGCATTGCTGTAGCAGAACACATGTCACCTCATGACCTTGATACTCTTCTTTGAAGAGACTGTCCCCATTGCAGGGAACACGAGAAGAGCAACAGATAAAAACATATTAACTCCGAGGCAAGATCTTGCTTACCGCCCAAAATATATCTTTAATTTAGTTTTTGGATTTCGCTCCTCCGGCAAGTTATTCTCTCTAATATGCGGATCGTAGAAATTTATAATTTGTGACGGTTGACGATCTTGCCGAATTCAGGGTCTCATTTATTCAATGATATTAAAAATTCATGCCGGTCATATGTCGAATAACAATAATAACTCGGCCATTTGGTTTTTGGTCATGAAATCAATGTTTCATTAAAGAACATTTAATCTTCGTTAAAAACTTAGTTTATTAATCATAATAATATAATATTAATAATAACCTAATAATAATAATAATAATAATAATAATAATAATAATAATAATAAACTCTAAATGAAATGATATGCGATGAAAACTCAACATGCACGGAAGTCGGTTTACAAATGAACCTATCGAAAACTATAGTAATGAGTAACAGCGAACCCAAATTAACCCAACAGTAACAGTTTACGTCCAAGAATATGTTTACCAGGGCCAGCTAGTATCTTTTATTAATAGAGGAGATAAGGAAATTAAAAGAAGAATTAAATTTTCATGAAGACAATTTTGTAGCCTCTCCTTCATCCTACTAAATAAAAAGATAAACCTGAATATCAAAACGGTATTAATAGACGGGTGCATCTTGCCCGCATTACCGATACATAAAAGTTTTAATCCCCATCGTCATTCGTAAAAATTATAACTTTTCCTACAACTCACAGTGGAGCAAAGAAGCTCCATTTGCGGCATTCGTTCAGGCAATGCCTTTAACTCAGAGAATTGCACGTCATTGGGAAGAAAATTTCATGCTGAAAGAAATGGTGCAACTTCCACTTAGATATTTCTTCTTTTAAAGGAAAATTAGACATTTTTTAGGATAATACTGTTTTTATTTAAAAACAACGAATATGTTTAAATTGCGTTTTAATAGAATGTGGCAATGAAGCACATAAAGTTTTTCGAATTATAGAAATTAAAACAAAATTCCAGTATTATTACATTATCAAAAAAATCATCTTCATTCTACCTAACAGTACTACAAACTGTGCCATTAAAATTCATTTTCACTATTCACAAAATTTTCCGAACCATCAAAACACTTAGTCTGTTAAATTAAAAGTTCTCGAGCTTCTTTTGGTAGGCTTTGCTCATTGTTCTTGCCAGTTTTCTCTTGCAGATGTTTAGAGAATTTGTACTTTTCAGAAGTAAATTCAAGATATCACAATTAGTGTTTTCACAAGTACATTTTTAGTGATAGTTATGGCTATTGTTCGTAAAATGTTTGTTGAGTGCTTCTATGGGCTCCCTATGTCAATTGCTCAGTTGGAAGTAAGGATGATGAAACATTTTCGTGGATTTTGCGCAACATCTTTTCATCACAAAGAGACTATATTTGTAATAAGAATAGCGGAATCGTCAGCATCATAATAATGAAATACCTGCTTGTTAGAACTATGACCTGAAGACCCATCAAATCCCCTTTTCGTTATCAGGATGTGCTGATTTACATCTTCATTTCGAAATAATTCGATCAGATTTCACTGACAGGATAATGTGACCAACAGTGTGATCCAGCAAAGCTTGCAGCGATATGCTAGCAAATATCTTGGTAATTTTAATACCTTTGAGGACTGTCGTGTCTGACTTACAATCAGTTCCATAAGGAGTTTCAAAGCCTCCATCTGTTCTCAACTCTTATGTGCACTAGTGAAAACATTAGTTCACGTAGAATCTCATACCTCTAGTTTTTGACGTTTTGTGCGCAGAGAACAGAATTCAAATAACATTTCGGTACGACCCGATTTCTTGTCTAAATACTGTGAAAACTAAACCTAAGAATGAAGCCAATTCTCATTGCTTGCTCTATGGTTAGCACAGCAGCACAAGTGGCTTAGAAAGTTTTCTCTCATATGGTCTTTGGTGAAACAAAGAAATTTGGAGTCTTGTTGCCAACTGTTATTTTAGTCACTGACAAAATTAGTAATTATGTAGTAAATTAGTAAAGTCGATCAAGTGAGGGACTTACCCAGCAAGTCTATCATGTTTGGGATCGACCAAGAAGTTGTCCATGGGCGGGATCGACCCAGCAAGTCGAGCAAGTGGAAGCTCGACCCAGCAAGTCAATCAGGTAGGGGACCGCAAAGAAAGTCGATCAAGTAGGGGATCGACCCAGCAAGTCGATCAGGTAAGGGATCAACCCATCAAGTCATCAAGTAGGGGATCGACCCAGAGAGCCGATCAAGTGGGGAATTGACCCAGAGAGTCGATCAAGTGGGGAATCGACCCAGTAAGTCGATCAAGTGGGGGATCGACCCAGAGAGTCGATTCAGTGTGGGATCGACCAGAGAGTCGATCACGTGGGGGATCGACCCAGAGAGTCGATCAAGTGGGGGTTCGACCCAGAGAGTCGATCAAGTGGAGGATCGACCCAGAGTCGATCAAGTGGGGGATCGACCGAGCAAATCATCAAGTAGGGGATCGACTCAGCAAGACATCATGTAGGGGATCGACCCAGCAAGTCCATCAAGTAATGCATCGACCCAGCCGGTCGATGAAGTAGCGCATCGACCCAGCATGGCATCAATTAGGGGATTGACCTAGTAAGTCATCAAGTAGGGAATCGATTCGGAGAGTCAATCAAGAGAATGATCGACCAAGCAAGTCTATTAAGTAGGGGATCGACCTAGCAAGTCGATCAAGTAAGGGATCGACCAAGCAAATCTATCAAGTGGGGGATTGACAAACAAGTCCATCAAGTGGGGGATCGACCCAGCAAGTCGATCAAGTGGGGGATCGAACCAGAAAGTCGATCAAGTGGGATATCGACCCAGCAAGTCGATCAAGTGGGGGATCGACCCAGAAAGTCGATCAAGTGGGAGATCGACCCA